GGAAAGATTGTGAAGATCTTTAAAAAAAAAAGTTTGTATTTCATCTTAGAGATGAAAGAACCCTGGAGTAAGGGTATGACATGGTTAGACCAATGTTTTAGAAAAAATCACTTTGGCAAACTTGAGAGGATGAATAAGGAAAGGGAGGGACTAGAGACAGATCACCTCTGACTCTCTGACTGTGCCTTCTGGTGACCCAGCCTGCCACTGTTACTAGGGTTTGAGGAAGTGTGTGGGTATGCATGCATGCATGCATGTAGCATGTATGTGTAGGTATGTAGACATGCATCTATATACCTATACATGCAGGTACAAATATATGCATATACCTTCATGTGAAAGTATATGCACACCCCCCAAGCCCTAGTAACAGTAGCAGACTAGGTCACCAGAGAGCACCTATGATTTCCCATTCAGGGTTCTCTGGGAACTCTGAAGGCTTGGAAAGGATGAGGATTCTTTTGCTATAGTCTAAATTGGCCTGCTTCCTCCAAATATATGTATGTGTATGTGTATGCGTATGTATATATAAAAATATATGTGTATGTTTATATCCATATTTTACATATATGTATGTGTGTATATATGCACACACATATATACAGCTTATAACCTTTAGCCTATCCTTTTTTAAAGGCTCTACAATTTAAAAATCTAACTTTAAATCTTAAAACATGCAGGTTGATAATCTTAGTTAACACTTCAGAGACTAAGGGGCCAGGCCTAATAAATTTGAATCACATGTAGTGTCAGAGCAACAAAAATGCCTGAATTTTTATGGTATAGTTACATTTTTTCATATATTGCATTGTAATTATACTCAAATTGTTTCCATTTGGAAACCATTTCCTTGACAAGAATAGAAGTCTCCTAAATGGTTTTGAGTGCTTAGCATAATGTTTTACATAAAACAAGTATTCAATAAATGTTTTCCTAATTAATTTCAGAGCTTTAGAAGACATTAGAAAAAATGTTAGATTTTTAAAATCTTAGTAGATTTGTTTGTTAAATACATTATTAAAAAGAAAATTTTAAAATACACATATATAACTAGGCATCTTTGAATTAAATTGGTTAAATTTGATTATATTAAGCACATAAATGATCTTGCTATATAAATGTGGTTCTTATTGTTAGCAAAGAATGGTGTCTAGCACAGGTAGCCAGAATGAAAAGCAGATAAAGAAAACTTTCAATAGAGTAATGTGAAGCCATCATTTTCCCTGAAAAAAATCTCCCAAAGCACATGTGTTAAAATTGATGGTGACATGCATATCAAGCACTACTGTGAGGGAAAGACTTTGGGAAAGGAAAATCAAAATTTGTCTTGTAAAATATGACATAATAATGTCACGTTCAATTTGCTCTTTCCTATTGTGTAAACTTGTTTTGATTCTCTCCATTGTAGTATAAAGGCAAAGGAAACAAACTTTCCTAGAATTGTTTGATTCTGAGTGGTAGCTATGAGAAGCATATTCGTTTTTAAATTCTGTAATATATTATTTAATAAATTCCTGCTGTTCTACGAGTTATTATAATATATATGTGTATATATATATATATATATGCTTTTGTGTATATATATAATATACATATAATATAATATATACACATGCTTTTGAGCTGAAAAATTAACAATGGACTTATTCTCAAGGCTCACTATTGATACGGATTATACATTTCAAACTACAAATGCCTTTCTCTGGTGATATCCTGAGGCATCTGTATAAGCAATCAGGCACAGTGTATATAATCTGCCTTCTCTGGCTTAGGGGCTACAGAGCTGGATTTGGAGTCGAGAAGATCTGGATTCAAATTTGGCCTCCAGTACTATCTATATGGCTGTGGTCAAGTCATTTAATCTTTCTGCATCTCAACTTCCTCATGTGTAAAATAAAAACAATAATAATACTTGCAGTAACTGTTTTACAAGGTTGATAAACTCAAGGAGATAACACATCTAAAGCTTTTTGGTGGCATTTATTTACATAGTTCTGTAATGTGTTGCAATAATGAAAAGCATAAGCCAAAATCACCCTCATGTAGTTTGTACCATATTCAGGACTGTAAATGTGTGAATCAGTACAAAAATCTGTACTTTCTGTAAAAGAACCTTGTCTTGACTGTTTGATTTCAAGCATTTTTTTTTGTGTCTAATTACATGCATTGTTTGCTTCCTGCAATTTCTATTTTTAATAGTAATAAAGTCAGAATAACTCAAAGTAATGATCAGCCGAACCTTGAGTCCCACCAAAGGCTCAACTTTGTCTAATTCTTGTCTGTTCTTCTATTTACAGCTTTAGAAGAAGAAAGTGAACCTGCATCTTTATCTTTAAAGCCAGACATCACTTTTAACAAGTCACAGCTCGATGACTGTCCAAGAGATTCTGGTTGCTATATCTCATCAGAAAGTTCAGATAACAGCAAAGATGATCTAGAGTCTGAAAATCTGTCTAATATGGCAGAGAAAATTACTATCACAGAGTCAAATGATTGACCCTTTGTTTTTCAACATTATAAGCAGATCCAAAGATGAGACTAATAGTCAATTAGTCAAGATGGAAATGCAGTAATGAATTCTAACTTTTTTTATATTTAAAAATTCTTGATGGCACACAGATTTGATTATCTTGATGTCTCAAAATTCTGATTAAAAAAATCTTCATTGTTAAATGATTTGTAGATTATAGTTGGAAGAACAAATAAGAGAAAAATAAATGTTTGTAAAAAAAAACTTTCTAAATCAAAACAGTTATTGTCCTTCATGCATTCTCAATTGTTGTAAATAGTACATGTATTTATTATTTTAAATGCTAGATGTTAATAGTTCATCATTTCTTTCTCTTCATGTCACTTTTTTTACATAAAACTCATCTTTAAAAGCATTTTACAAGTTCATCATCTTAATATTTGACCCTTAAGAAAAAGCAGTACAACCTCCATGCCTACCAGTTATAAATTTGTATGTGCAATTATAGTGATGAATAGCTCTGCCACAGACAACTGCCTATAAACTTAACTATAAATCTCTTGTCAATATCCTTCCTTTCCCTACCTCTATCTCAAGCAAGTTGTTAAAGCATTTTACCAGGCATGGTTTGTTGTATTTTTTAAATTATTTTCAATGATTTTTTTCATTGTTAAACATTTACCAATGTTTTTAAAAAGAGCTAAAAGAAGTTTAACAAGCATAACCTTTAATAAAATTACTTATAATGTAAATACCATTGATTTTGTCCTAAAATACCTACATCATGTACCTTTTGTTTCAAAATTGTCTTAATGTTGATAATAAATAGAACTATGTGGTGATTATACTGTCTAGGCTGTGTTCTTTATCAAAGGCTCTATAATTTGAGACATGCAGAGATATTTGAGACATGGATATGAAATCAATTTACTGATTTTTATATCGTGCATCCTAGTTTCTACTTTTGTATTTAAGCCACTGTGTTTATCCTTTTAAGAAGATTCCACAAGACTGCCTACAACATTTAGTAGAAAGTAAATGTAAAATAGAAACAAGTAAGACCTTTAAAAAGGTCCATATGCTGCATCTATGTCAGAGTGAAGGAGAGAAAGCAAGTCCTTGGAGATTCTGGAAAATGTTTCATGAGTACTCGTTGGTAACCTGTTCAATATCATGAAGATCTTTGTGGGGAGGTATATATAGGACATATACCATCTTTTTTCCCCACACCCTTCTCAAAAAGAAACTGATTGGGCCATCATCAATGGACCAAAGCTGGGGCAGGGAATAGCTAAACTCACTGCTGCATTTTCCTCTACCACTGCTACTCTTCCTGTTGATTCTACTTTTATTCCACCACAGCATCAACCAGACAATCAGGATTAAATTCAACAAACATTTATTATATGTCTACTGTGCGCAAGGTACTGGTGTAGAAAACAAAAAATAAACTAATTCTTGCCCTGGAGGAGATTATATTTTCAATTTTTATAGTGAATTTAACAAAAGTCAAGTAAAATGAAAGATTGAATGTGCAAAGTAGAACAGAAAAAGAGGATTATGCATGAAACTGCAAATTTATTATACATGAATTTATTTTCTTTTAAAATATATAGGGAGCCAAAATGGTGAACACTTCAACTCTCCTTCCCCCCCACCCCACAAACACACCAGGGAATAGAGCCCAACATTAACATAATGCTCCAAATCAAGATATAGGATGGGGAAATGAGCCATCATCATCATCATCATCATCAACAAAAAAAGAATCTAACTATAAAAAGCTACCATGGTAGTTTTTTATAAAAAGCTACTACGGTATAGGGAAGATCAAGACACAAAATCAGAAGAAGACAATGAAGTCAAAACAGCTACAAGTAAAGCCTCAAAGGAATAAAAAAAAATGAATGGAACATAAATCCAACAAGAATTCCTGGAAGAGCTAAAATACGTGTTTCAAAATCAAATAAGTGCAGTAGAGGAAAAATAGGCAAGAAATGAAAGCAAAGGACAAAAAGATATGATGAGAAGATAATTAACACCTTGGGAAAAGAGGCATGAAAAAAATACTAAAGAAAGAGGGATTCCCTGGGAGAAAGGAGAAGAGAGAGGTAGAATGGGGAAAATTAACTCAAATAAAAGAGGTATGCAATGAAGAGCTTTTGCTGTGGATAGAAAATAGTGGTGGGGGGCAAGTAATGCTTGAACCTCATTCACATTTAAATTGGTTAACAAAGGGAAAGAATACAAACACACACACACACATATATTTATACACACACACACACACAGATATACACATACTGAATTACTAATGGAAATCTATCTTACCCAAAGGGAAGTAGGAAGGGAAGCGGATGGAGGGGGTGATAAAATGGAGGGTAGATAAAAGAATGCAGTGGTCAGAAGTAAAATAGACTTTAGAGGAAGGACAGGATAAAAAGTGAAAGGGGATAAATAGAAGAATATAGGATGGAGGGAAATATATAGTTAGGAATCTTAGCTATGAATGGGAATGGGACGAACTCACCCATAAATGGAAGCAGAGAACAGAATGGATTAAAAACCAGAAGCCAACAATGTGTTGTTTATAAGAAACACACCTGAAAGAGACAGACACACAGAGAGTTAAAATAAGGGGGTAGAGCTGAATCTATTATGCTTCAGCTGAAGTAAAAAAAAAAAAGTAGAGGTAGCAATCATGATTTAGGACAAATCAAAAGCAAAAATAGACCTCATTAAAAGGTACAAGTAGGAAAACTACATAAGGAACCATAGTTCCTTTGAATGGTAAAGTAATGAATGAAGTAATAAATGAACAATGAAGTAATATCAGTATTAAACACATATGCACCAAATGGCACAGAACCCAAATTCTCAAAGGAAAAGTTAAATGAATTACAGAAAGAAATAGACAGTACTATACTAGTGGTGGCCCTCAACTCTCCCCTCTCAAAACTAGGTAAATCTAATCATAAAATAAATAAGAAGTCAATGAGATGAATAGAATTTTAGAAAAGTTAGATATGACAGATATCTGGAGAAAACTGAATGGGAATAGAAAGGAGCATACCTTTTTCTCAGCTGTATGTGACATCTTCACAAAAGTCAGCCATGTATTAGGACATAAAAACCTCACAACCAAATGCAGGACAGCAAAAATATTAAATGCACCCTTTTTAGACCATAATGTAATAAAATTACATTTCATAAAGGGCTGTGGAAGCATAGGTTAAAAGCTAATTGGAAACTAAATAACATAATCCTAAAGAATGAGTCAAAGAACAAATCATAGAAACAATAATTTCTTTAAAGAAAATGACAACAATGAGATAATATACCAAAATTTATGAGATGCAGTCAAAAGAGTACTTAAGGGAAAATTTATACCTCCAAATGCTTACATCAATAAAATAGAAAAAGAGCAAATCAATAAATTGGGCATGTAACAAAAAAAAAAACCAACTAGAAAAAGAACAAATTAAAAATCCCCAATTAAACACCAAATTAGAAACCCTGAAAATCAAAGAAGTGATTAACAAAATTAAAACTAAGAAACTGTTGAACAAATAAATAAAACTATTAACCGCTTATTAATTTGACTTTAAAAAATAAAGAAGAAAACCAAATTACCAGCATTAAAAACGAAAAAGGTGAACTCAACACCGATGATGATGAAATTAAAGCAATTATTAGGAATTTTTGCCCAATTACATGCCAATAAATCTAACAATTTAAGTGACAAGTATGAATATTCACAAAAAATATACAAATTGCCCAAATTAACAGAAGAGGAAATAGAATACTTAAATAACCTATCTTAGAAAAAGAAATTGAATGTATCATTAATGAGCTACCTAAGAAAAAAATTACCAGGACTAGATGGATTCACAAATGAATTCTACCAACACTTAAAGAATAATTTATCATAATATTATATAAACTATTTAGAAAAGGAAGCAAAGAAAGAATGCTATCAAATTCCTTTTATGACACAAATATGATTCTAATGCCTAAAATAGGTAGAGATAGGGAAAAACCAGAGGGGGAAAAAAACATAGACCTATTTCTCTAATGCATATTAATGCAAACATTTTAAATAAATTACTAGCAAGGAGATTATAGTAATATATCACAAATATATATAGTGATATATATACATACATATACATATATACACATGCATATACATATACATACACACACACACACACACACATACACACACACACACATATATATCTCACAAAGACATTATAACTAGGTGGGATTTGTACCAGGAATGCAGGGTTAGTTGTCATGATTGAAATAAGGATAAACTGAGGCAACAGAGTTCCAAGCATGACTAATTTGTTAGCAAGGCTACTGATTGCTAGTAAACGGGGTCTAAGGCTCCTCAGTAACCAAGGACATTCCTGACAGTCAACGCAGCTCTTTTATAGTCATAAAAAAGGAACATCAAAAGGGCAAACAAAGTCACAAAGGTCCATCAGAGTCACAAATGGAAAGGTCAGAGTCACAAGATTTATTGTAACCTGGGTGTGACTGAGTCACAAAAGCCATTGACTGAGGCACAAGATCTATAACAATATGGGTGTTATCAAGTTATGATTGGAAGAATCATGGTCTTTGCATGACCTTGGAAAACACCAGCTTCAGTTTCATGGAACAGCTTGACATCAACATTTCATAGAATAAGCATATTTCTCTGAAAAAGGGGTGGTGGGTGAATTTATAAGAATAGAATAGGGCAAGTGATGGAAACTACATGAGTAAGGAATTTAAATTCGCACTGAGGGCAAACTAACAAAATATACTAATTTGATTAAGCCTTAACAAAATAGAGGAGATTATCAATTTTCAATTTTATGATTACTCCCTTTGATCCTTTGAGGAACTATGGTGCCTCAATGGGTCATCTATGAATAAAATATAGTCTTCCTTAAGGGGAGACTGTCATAATGGCGCAAAACCATCAGGCCTAAGCTTAAAATCTCTAATGTGAAAGGAATCATTTCATATTCCATAAACCAAAGCAAGAATCACAGAAGTGGAAAAGCGAAGTAAAATGTATCTTTGGAAAACAATCTAGTACAACATTTGATCAATATCCATAATCACTAGGAACTAATTTAGAGAACAGCTTGACAGCTTAAGGCTACAAGGAATAAAATAGTCAATACCCCATCAGAGGATGATTATGAGGCCTAGGGAAAGGAGGGCATATTTAACCAAAGAAGTGAATATCCCACCTCTCACCTCCCAAGCCAGGAGAACTTCAAAGAAAACCAAGATAAAGAGTTCCACCAGTTATTATTACTTGGTGTTACCTGTGTTTCATTAGCTATTTGTTGACTGTCAGATATAATATATTGGAGCTGATGAACATTGGTGACAATTTTTACTGACATATTAGTACAAGAACAGGATTGATTAATAACAGCACAGGATCCTCCTTGGGCAGCAGTGAGAACATCCAACACTAAGCATATTTGGAGGACTGTTTCTGCTAGAGAGATAATCTCCATTTGGAGTGAGACAATACTGTTTCTGAAAAGGCCTGGATCATGTCTTGAGCTAGTTTTTCAACCTCTGAAGAAATATTTCTAATAGATTTCATTTGGTGTATTTTGCTTAAATCTGCCAGTAACAAGACTCAGTAACAATTTTGTATAATCTCTGAGGGTCTAACTTGGAAAATGAGCCTTTCCGTCTCAAAATTATCAGACAGAGACTTAGCAACAGGAAATTAATCCAATTTTGAGAACTTCTTGCTAAAACATACTCAAGGCTTGTATATCTTATAAGCCAATCACACGCACGCGCGCCGCACACACACACACACACACACACACACCACACACACACACACACACACACGTGTGTGCGTCTCATTTTTAGAGAAACCCGTTAGATCTTGTTACTTTCTCAAAATTTCCTACTCCATTTAATTAGAAAACTTTCTTGGGAAACCTGAAAACCTCTTAGAATACTTTTCTGATCTTTGCAAACTTTACTGATATTCTTTGTCTAATTTCCCCCTTAGGAGTATATTATTCTTATCTCATTTTGAAAGAAGGAGACACTTCAAGAATTTAATCTTAGGGGCAGCTAGGTAGCACAGTGGATAGAGCTCCGGCCTTGGAGTCAGGAGTATCTGAGTTCAAATCTGGCCTCTGACACTTAACACTTACTTAACTGAGCAAGTCACCAAAAAAACGCAAGAAAAAAAATTAATCTTGGAAACATAAATTTATAACCATTAGTAAGGGGGTGGCAAAACTACGAACTCATCAAATTCATATTGAAAACAGATCTTTCATACTTGCATCCTATTGTAGTAACTCAAATGTCTTAGTAGTAATCTATTAATCAACAGATACAGTATTACAAAAACTTTTACCTGCTCTGATAACAGAAATTTGATATGAAAGGAAAAAAGAGGGACACAGTTTGACAATTTCAAGATTGTCCCCTCAAAACCATAGACTGACCTGATACAAGCTATAACAAGGAGGAAAAAAACTCCTTCAGCTCTGTTTGATTTCAGGCACAAGTCATATTTGACAGTCAATAAGATAGTAATGTTCCATAGTATTCATAGGGTATAAGCCAGACCCATAATTAACCAGGTGGGAAACTGCACAATCAGGAAAATGAGTCAAGAGGATATTTTCCTTTGCCTATGCAAGGTTGCCCCTCAATTTTTCCCTGACGCTAGACATTGCAGTTCTCTGACAGTACTCCCTTTGGGCAGCACATGGCATTCACCTTGAATTTAGGGCTATTGACTTTATGACAATTCAGACAACCATACCTGAAATCAGAACTCAGAACAATATCAAATTGCAGTCCCATGCGATTTTACCTCAAATAACAAAATTTTACTAATCACAGTTTAGGGGCAGGTTATTATTCAGCTTCTCTTGTTGCACAAATAAGGACACTTTATAAATTAAGAATAGTCACCATCTGGAGTTTTATACCTATAATGAACATTAGTTCACACATACAATGAATAGTCAGTTCTAAAATGTAACTTAAGTACATACCAAATATTAACAGAGGGCCATTTCCATTCATCCTGATCTATATCTCCCCACTAGACCCAGATGGTTCTGGAGGAGAAAGTGAGTCTGGTGACTTTACAATCCTCCCTCACGTAAATCCACCTCACTTGTATGTCATGGCATCACCTCCCTGATGTCACTGGTCCTCTTCTGAGAATGAAGGACAAACAACAACAAATTATTAACAGATAAAATTTTCATGACTTTCCAAATTATCTTAGGTGCAACTCACTCTTTATTCAAAATTAACTTGTAAATTTTCTTCTTTGACTCGGAGAGGTCCTAGTTCCTCAAAGCATGGCACTTTGGAGTCTTACCACATGATGTCAGCAGGGCAAATTAGGTTTTAAGATCCACCCCAAGTAGAAAACCCAAAGTAACCTTACAGATAAGGATCTTTTAAGAGGATTTTGCTACTCTTTTCTTCCAACAGTGTGTCATCATTATTATTATCTAGTTTAAAACAAAATATACTCTATTAAATATTCAACCATTTTAAATGTTTTCACCATATTCATTTAATAGTCAAATTTATAATCTAACAGCATGTGAATTAAAAAGGAAGTTATTCTTTTAACAGTGTGTTTCACAATAGAAGAAACATTTCACATATATGGAGTCATGTATCTAAAATATGAAAACTTATTATGAATTAGGTGACATTAATTCAGTGGAATATATTTCTGGATTATAGAAAATCACTTTTGGCATTATCGGTTGATTGCATTAAAATACAATATAGAGTACTTTTCATTTCTTAACATTTCTATACAGAGCTTACCACATGCCATGCTGTTTCTGAGGCTTTTTCTAGCTTTTAAAGTCTAATTTAGAGTTTCAGAGCCCTGAATTCTGCAGTACTTCAAAGTGTTTAGTTAATGTATTTCCTAATAATAGAAGTCTTAAATGCCTCAGCGTAACTATTTGCTAACTTGCATCCCAGGGCAGTTATAAGTAATAAGACTGAAACTTATAAAGAAAAAAAATGAAATAAATGAACAATAGTTTTAAAAAGTTAAATGATAATGAAGTCAATGCCAATTTAGAAAAGCACTTTTTAAGTGGGAGATTGCCAAAGAAATATTTTGTTCAACTGAATTCCTATAAGGTCTAAATATCACATTGTTCATCCTCTGTATAAGCAAAGTACTGTGTCAAGCACTTCACAATCAGGCACCTAACAATTAGGTGTTTTTCCCAATAACCCTGGGAGGTAGGTGTTATTTCACTGTAAATAAAGTCACATTATTTTTCAGTTTCAGAACAAAAATTTCAACCAAATCAATTCTGGATTTATTTAAATCTCATTTTTTCCCAAGAGTCCACTGTTTTGGGTTAGCTTATGTTAAAAAAAAATTCATGATGGCATTCCCAGCTCCCCATAACAGTTTCTTTATTTGTTTTAAATCATCCCATGAGCCAAATCAATTCCTTATCTTTTTCTAACCTAACCCCCTGAAGATACCTTAAGAGGATAGATAAAAGGGCAAGTCTCTCATTACCCTGAGGCTTTTCAATTGTAACCTTAGCAGTAAAAGCTATTTACTAAATTTTTCCAAAGGCCTTCAGCATAATTATTTACACTAGACTAAAGAAAACAAGCTAAGTGGTATAGTGGATAGAGGTCAGGGCTTGAAGTCAGGAAGACCTGAGTTCAAATCCGACCTCAGACACGTAAATAGTTTTGTGACCTTGGGCAAGTCACTTAACCCTTTTTGCCCCAGTTTCATCACCTGTAAAATGAGCTGGAGAAGGAAATGGTAAACCACTCCAGTATCCTTGCCAAGAAAACCCCAAACGGGGTCACAAAGAGTCAGACATGACTGAAAATGGCTCAACAACAACAAAAAAGAAAACAATATTTAATCAACCAGTTAATTTGTATTTGTTAAACTTTCACTTAATCCTTCTAAGTCTTGTGAGTTTTCTTTTGTAACCTTATATTAATTTGGGAAGGGAAATATTCAGTACTTGTCAAAGAGGCCTTTCTCTAAAAATTCCTCAAATTTTTTATTTCAGTGGCATTAAAACCTTTCCTCAAATCTCCCTTTTCAAAATTCTAAAACATTTTACATTCAAACCTTCTAATTGTACTGTGTCTATGCAGACTCCAACTTTCTTTTAACTCTCTACCTATGTGTCACTCATTCCTACTTGCTCAAGCTTTCTTTCTTCCCTTCCTTCTATATCCCTCTTGTGGACTTTGATTAAAGCCCTTCAAAATTGCCCTTTTCCTTTTTTTTTTCCATATTTTGATCCAACACTTCTCTTACTTTCTTCTACTTCATTAATTCCTCTATGATACATTTCCCAGTCATATCTCAGACTGCCTACAGACTTAATTTTTATTCTACTGAATTCTTGTCTAAAATTTAGTACAAGTATTTATCACACAAAACCAATTAACTGCAATACTGTCACGTTTTGGGGTGCTTAAAGGCTTACAAATGCATAGTTCATTCCAATTTCTTTAGGTGACTTTGTTACTAGTTTACCAGTACAATCATATCATTCAAAGCACTTAATTGCTTAGGCTGACCAGTAGTAAATATAGTAATAAAACAAATGTTATTTCAAATTTAGGTTTGCTTATTCACAAAACACAGATGTATTTGCTGGAAATGTTTTTCTTTCCTTTAATTTATAAAAAGTCAGTGTGCACTCTTTTACTGACTGTAATCTCAAAACTCTTAACAAGTGAAAGTCACTTCTTTGGACCAGATCGTAGATCCATGTGGATTTTTTTTAATTTTTAATTTTTTTCTTAATAGTATTTTTTCCAATCACATGTAAAGATAGTTTTCAACATCTTTTTTTTTGTAAAATTTTGAATTCCAAATTTCTCCCTCCCTTCCTTCACTCCTCCCTCCCCAAGGCAGCAAGCAAACTGATACAGGTTATACACGTACAATCACATGAAAAATATTTCCACATTAGTCTTGTTTTGAAAGAAGAATCAGAACAAAAGAGGAAAATCATGAGAAAGAAAAAAACAAAAACAAACAAACAAAAAAGGTGAAAACAGTATGTTTTGATCTGCATTCAGACTCCATAGTTCTTTCTCTGGATGTAGTTAGCATTTTCCATCATGAGTCTTTTAGAATTCCCTTAGATCATAGTATTGCTGAGAAGAGCTAAGTCTATCATAGTTGATCATCACATAATGTTGCTGTTACTGTGTACTTTGTTTTCCTGGTTCTGTTCACTTCATTCAGCATCAGTTCATGTAAACCTTTCCAGGTTTTTCTGAATTCTGCCTACTCATCATTTCTTATACTACAACTGATTCATCCATTCACTAATTGATGGGCATTCCCTCAATTTCCAATTTATGGCCACCACAAAAAGAGCTGCTATAAATATTTTTCAACATGTAGGTCTTTTTCTATTTTTAATGATTATTTTGGTATATAGATCTAGTAGTGGTATTGCTGGATCAAAGAGTATGCACACTTTTATAGCACTTTGGACATAGTTCCAAATTGCTCTCCAAAATGGCTGGATCAGTTACCAACTCCACCAACAATGCATAATGTTCTAATTTTCCCACATTTTCTCCAACATTTATCATTTTCCTGCTTTGTCATGTTGGCCAATCTGATAGGTGTGATGTGGTACCTCAGAGTTGTTTTAATTTGCATTTCTCTAATCAATAGTGATGTAGAGCATTTTTCATATTATTATAGATAGCTTTAATTTTTCCATCAAAAAGCTGCCTGTTCATATCTTTTGACCATTTATCAATTCGGGAATGACTTACATTCTTATAAATTTGACTCCGTTCTGTATATATTTGAAAAATTAGGCCCTTATCAGAAATACTAGCTATAAAAATTGTTTTCCAGCTTTCTGCTTTCCTTCTAATCTTGCTTGCACTGGCTTTGTGCAAAAACTTTTCAATTTAATGTAATCAAAATACATTTGGCATTTATAACATTCTCTATCTCTTGTTTGGTCATAAATGGTTCCCTTCTCCATAAATCTGACAGGTAAAGCATTCTTTGCTTTCCTAATTTGTTTATGGTATCATTCCTTATGTCTAAATCATGTACCCTTTTGACCTTATCTTGGCATGGGGTGTGAGATGTTGGTCTATGCCTAGTTTCTGCCATACTATTCTCCAGTTTTCCCAGCAGTTTTTGTCAGTCAGTTTTTATCCCAGAAGCTGAAGTCTTTGGGTTTATAAAACAGTAGATTACTATAGTCACTGACTATACGTCTTATGTACCTAACCTATATGTACCTAACCTATTCCACTGATCCACCACTCTATTTCTTAGCCAGTACCAAATAGTTTTGATGATTGTCACTTTATAATATAGTTTTAACTCTGGTACAGGTAGGCCACCTTCCTTTGCTTTTTCCCCCATTAATTCCCTTGATATTCTGGACCTTTGGTTCTTCCAGATGAATTTTGTTATTATTTTTTTCTAGCTCTATAAAATAATCTTAGTAGTTCGATTGGTATGGCACTGAATAAATAAATTAATTTAGGTAGAACTGTCATTTTTTGTTATATTAGTGTGGCCTACCCATGAACAACTGACATTTTCCCAATTGTTTAGATCTGATTTTAATTGTGTGAAAAGTGTTTTGTAGTTGTGTTCATGTAGTTCCTCAGTTTGTCTTGGCAGGTAGATTCTCAATTATTTTATGTTGTCTACAGTTATTTTAAATGGAATTTCTGTTTCCATCTCCTTGATGCTAGACTTTGTTAGTAATATATAGAAATTCTGATGATTTATGTGGGTTTATTTTATATCCTGTAACTTTGTTTCAAGTAATTTTTGGTTGATTCTCTAGGATTCTCGTATAATTATAGTTTTGTTTCTTCTTTGCCTATTCTAATTCCTTCAATTTCTTTTTCTTCCCTTATTGCTAACACTAACATTTCTAGTACAATATTGAATAACAGTGGTGATAATGGATATTCTTGTTTCACCCCTGACCTTATTGGGAATGCTTCAAGCTCATTTCCATTACATGTAACATTGTTGATGGTTTTAGATAGTTACTGCTTATCATTTTAAAGAAGACTCCATTTATTCCTACGCTCTATAGTGTTTTTAATAGGAATGGGTGCTGAATTTTATCAAAAGTTTTTTTTCTGTACTTGAGATAATCATATGATTTCTGTTAATTTTGTTATTGATATGGTCAATTATGCTGATGATTTTCATAATATCGAACCAAAATTGCTTTGCTGGTATAAATCCCACCTAGTCATAGTGTTATCCTTGTGATAAATTGCTATAATCTCTTTGCTAATATTTTATTTAAAATTTTTTCAGCAATATTCATTAGGAAAATTGGTTTATAATTTTCTTTCTTTATTTTGGCTCTTCCTGGTTTAGGTATCAGCACCATGTTCATGTCATAAAGGGAATTTTGTAGGAATCCTTCACCTATTTTTCCAAATGGTTTATATAGTATTAGAATTAATTGTTCTTCGAATGTTTAGTACAATTCACTTGGGCTTTCATCCTGATTAATGAGGCAAAACTAGGGACAAAGAGAATTAAAAGGAGTTTATTATAAGTATGTCATGGTAGAAACACATTGACTAGCTGATCACTGAAGATTAGCAATGGTTTCAAGATGGGATCAGCTTTTACAGGTAACTTTAAGACAATTCCTATAGATCAACATCTGCAAAAGTGGTTGAGCCCTTGTATCTTGATCCTGACCAACATAGAGAGAAAAGCAAACATCTTGCTTTCTGACTTATCTAAAGAGCAACAATCCTCCTGCTCTCTAATTTACTGTATTTATAGATATCTGCTCCCTAGACCCCCACTTTCCTCCTGAATTCCCAATTTATTGTTTCTTAATCCCCACTTACCCATAGGTACCTTAAAAAGTCCTAAATATCTCAGATATATATACAAATTCCTCACCCTTTTCCCACTCCCCTTTGAGCAGCTGAGAACAGTCTCACTGCTCCAGCTTGCAAGCTTTTCTTCTCAGGTAGTAAATGCAATCATAATCTTGGTAAACTGTGATCAGACTCTGGCTCATTCCAGGTCCCCCTTTTGGACCTGGGGCTTCTTCCACCACAGCAGTTCACAGGGGTTTTTATTTTAACAGGTACAAAGGTCACAGGTAAGGGAAGACTTGATTACATAACAAATATGAGGGGACTGGGAGATGCCTCCCCCAATACTGACTGACAGGCTGTGAACAATGGGTCACTGAGTTGACATAACTTTCAAAAATCTTCAAATGGTCTTGTAGGTTTTAAAGCAATTTGACATATACCAACTATTCTGTTTCTGAGTCTCTACATGTGCAGAAGTTGATTTAGCAGTTTGGCAAAAAAACAAACAAAAAACATATTTCTTAACAAATTTGTAATAATAGCTGATAGATCTTTAACAATTTCTTGGAGGTTCGGTTTCTGGGAGCCAAGATGGCAGAGTAAGAAGTAAGTCACTCTTACTGTCCTGTCCTTTATTAAGCTCTGAAAGCCCAGAAAATATTGCCCAAGGAAAAACCCTGGAACAGCTGAACCAGAAGAAAGACAGGGTGCAGCAGTCCAGTAGTCCAGGTAGCTTCAGGGATTAACAGAAAAGACCCCTCTTGCCCTGGGGGAAGGGAGACCATACAGAACTGAAGGCATCCCAGCAAGCTAGTGGAAAGCTCCACTCAGTATATAAGGGGGAGATCCTGAATCCCAGGTGCTAGAGCAGGCAAAACACCAACACCAAGACGCCCAAGTGACTCAGTACAGGGAGTGGATCCAGTGAAAACTGCCTTGGAAAATCACCACGTGCCTCAGTGTTCTGTGGCAGCCAAGTCTCCCCAAAGCCTCAGCAAAACTCTGGAAAGTGCTCCAAAGGGGAAAGCCCCAGGCAGAGAAATATCCATCTGAAAGGAGCCTAAGAAAATGAAAGGAAAGAAAGGCCTTTGTGAGCAGGCAACCTCCATGGGCCAGACTACCCAATCCTACCCCTAGAGCTCCAGTGTTGCTGATTCCAGCCCTATACCAGGTAAGCTGCCAGAACCCTATAGCCTCCAACTGCCAGCATCACAGGCCTCGGCCCACAAAGCCAGTGACCAGGCCCCAGGCTCCCAACACAAAAAGCTTGGGTCAGTGCCCCCTGTTCCCCAGCAGGAGAGCTCAATCTCTATAAATGGCCAGGAAATAAGCAAATACCATGAGCAAAAAGAAATGTGGGGAGGCAGAGCCAAGACGTCAGAGTGAAAGCAGTGACTTTCTTGAGCTCTCCCCCCAAACCCTCCAAATACCTATAAAAAATGGCTCTAAACAAATTCTAAAGCAGCAGAACCCACAAAAAGACAGAGTGAAGCAAATTTCTAGCCCAAGACAACCTAGATGGTTGATTAGAAAGGTATATCGTGCTGGGTTGGTAGAGGAGCACAGTTTGGTGCTGGCGCGCAGGCCAGAGCGAACCTGGAGCAGGCCTCAGAGGACTGAATCACAGGCAGTTGTGGCAGTTTCCAGACTTCCCAACCCACAAACACCAAAGACAACTTAGAAGGTCAGTGGGAAAAGTCTGTTTCTACAGTGCTGAGAGAGAAGTGAGGTGGTCTCAGCTCCATTTGCCGAGCACGGCCTAGGGTAGGGGCTGCCTCCCAAGCTTCCAGCCCACAGACTGAGGGGTAATTGAGTGGCTGATAAGATGGGGATAGCAAGCATCTCTTTGCCAGTGCTGAGGCAGGAATTTCTTGCTTTGTCTGTGCTTGGATCTGGGTCACAGTTCTGGACTGTGGTCCTGGGGTAAGGAGGAACTCTGGTGTGGCAGAGCTTGTAGTGGCTGTGGAGAGAAAATCCTCCTCACAGTTCCAGGACAGAAAGAAGTGCTTGTGGTCACTAATAGACCAGAGCACAGGCCAGGAAAAGAGTAAACACCTCGCCCCTTACCATACCACCTTGCAAGAACTGAAAATTTACAGGTACCTACAAGTATCTCTGAAAACAGCTGTACAAACCCCCAGAGCTTGGGATAGTACATTCTCCACATTGGAAGCAGACTCTTACCTTAACAAAGAGTTTAAAACTCAAGTAATTGGCCAGGATCATGAGGAAGCAGCTCAAAAAGAGTCAGACTATATTATCTTACTTTGGTGACAAAGATCAAAACATACAACCAGAAGAAGACAACAAAGTCAAAGCTCCTACACCCAAAAGCTTCCAAGAAAAATATGAATCAGTCCCAGGTCTTGGAAGAGCTCAAGAGGGATTTTGAGAAGTAAGTAAGAGAAGTAGAGGAAAAACTGGGAAGAGAAATGAGAGTGACACAAATAAATCATGAAAAACAAGTAAACAGCTTGCTAAAGGAGACCCAAAAAATACTGAAGAAAATAACACCTTAAAAAATAGCCTAACCCAAATGACAAAAGAGGTCCAAAAAGCCAATGAGGAGAAGAATGCCCTAAAAAGAAAAACTGGCCAAATGGAAAAGGAAGTCCAAAAGATTACTGAAGAAAATACTTCCTTAAAAATTAGAATAGAGCAATTGGAAGCTAGTGAGTTTATGAGAAATCAAGACACTGTAAAACAAATCCAAAAGAATGAAAAAATAGAAGATAATGTGAAATATCTCATTGGAAAAACAACCGACCTAGAAAATAGATCCAGGAGAGAGAATTTAAAAATGTTGCACTATCTGAAAGCCATGATCAAAAAAAAGAGCCTAGACATCATCTTTCAAGAAATTATCAAGGAAATTAACAGGAAATTATGCCCTGATATTTTAGAACCAGAGGGCAAAATAGAAATCGAAAGAATCCACCTATCTCCTCCTGAAAGAGATCCCCAAAGGAAAACTCCTAGGAATGTTGTAGCCAAATTCCAGAGTTTCCAGGTCAAAGAGAAAATATTACAAGCTGCCAGAAAGAAACAATTCAAGTATGTGGAAACACAATCAGGATAACACAAGATTTAGCAGCTTCTACATTAAGGACTGAGGCATAATATAATATTCCAGAGGGCAAAGAGGATTACAACCAAGAATCACCTACCAGCAAAACTGAGTATAATCCTTCAGGGGAAAAAATGGTCATTCAGTGAAATAGAGGACTTTCAAGCATTCTTGATGAAAAGACCAGAGCTGAATAGAAAATTTGACTTTCAAATACAAGACTCAAGTGGAACATGAAGAGGTAAACAGGAAAGAGAAATCATAGAGACTTATTAAGGTTGAACTGTTTACATTCCTGCATGGAAAGATGATATTTATAACTCATGAGACCTTTGTCAGTATTAGGGTAGTTGGGAAAAATATATGTAGGATAGATAGACAGATAGATAGATAGAGATAGAGAGATAGATAGATAGATAGATAGATAGATAGATAGATAGATAGATAGATAGATAGATAGATAGATAGATAGATAGACAGAGGGCACAGGGTGAGTTGAAGATTAAGGGGTCATATCTGGAGAATAAAATTAAGGGATGAGAGAGGATTATACTAGGAAAGAAGAAAGGAGAGGTAGAATGGGGTAGATTATCTCACAAAAAAAAACAGAAAAGAAAAGGCTCTTACAGTGGAGGGGAAACAGGGGAAGGTTGAGAGGGTATGAGTGAATCTTATTCTCATAGGATTTGGCTTAAGTAGGGAATAACATATACATCCTGTCTTACCCTACAGGAAAATAGGGGGCGAAGGGGACAAGAGAGTGGGGGGGATGATAGAGAGAAGGGCAGATTGGGAAAGGGGGTAATCAGAAACAAATACATTTGAGGAGGGACAGGGTCAAAAGAAAGAATAGAATACATGGGGGGCAGGATAGGATTAAGGGAAATAGAGTTAGTTTTTCACAACATGTCTACTATGGAAGTGTTTTGCATAACTGCACATGTATAACCCCACATTGAGTTGCTTGCCTTTTCAATGAGGGTAGGTGAGAGGGAGCAAGGGAGAAAATTTGGAAGCCAAAGTTTTAAAAACACGTGTTTAAAACAAATATTTTCACATACAACTGGGAAATAAGAAATACAGGAAATGGGATACAGAAGTCTATCCTGCCGTATAGGAAAATAGAAAGGGAAGGGGATAAGACAAAGGGGGAGAGAGAGAAGAGAGGGCAGACTAGGGGAAGGGGTATTCAGATTGCATGCCATCTTGGGGTGGGGGGAGGGGCGAGATGGCGTGAAAATTTGGAACTCAAAATCTTGTGGAAGTAAATGTTGAAAACTAAAAATAAATAAATTTATATTAAAAAAAAGAAATGCACTATAGATTCTTACTATGAGAACAGTGAAGATCAAGGCAGAAATTCTGAAGAGGACAACATTGTCAACAAACCCACATCTGGAACCTCAAAAGGGAATATGAACTGGTCTGAAGCCCAAAAAGTCCTCTTGGAAGAGGTCAAGAAGGACTTTAAAAGTCAAATAAGAGAGGTAGAAGAAAAACTGGGAAAAGAAATGAGAGGTATGAAAGAGAGAATTAACATCTTGGAAGAGGAAGGACAAAAATCAACTGAAGAAAACAACCCCTTAAAAAGTAGAATTGGCCAAACAGAAAAGGAGACACAAAAACTCACTGAGGAGAAGAATTCCTTAAAAATAAAATGGGCCAAATGGAAAAGGAGGTATAAAATCTAAGAGAAGAAAACAATTTGTTAAAAATTAGAATTGGGCAAATAGAAGCTAATGACTCTATGAGACAGGAGAATCAGTCAAACAGAAGAAAAAAAGAAAAAGAGATGAAAATGTAAAATACCTCATTGGTAAAACAACTGACCTGGAAAATACATCCAGGAGAGACAATTTAAAAATTATTGGTCTATCTGAAAATCATGATGAAAAAAAAAGCAGGGACAGCATCTTTCGGGAAATCATCAACGAAAACTGCCCTGAGGTCCTAGAACCAGAGGGTAAAATAGCCATAGAAAGAATCTACCAATCACCTTCTGAAAGAGATTCCAAATTGAAAATGTCAATGAATATAGCAGGCACATTCGAAAAGTACCAGGTCAAAGAGAAAATACTGCAAGCAGACAGAAAGAAACAATTTAAATATCATGGAACCACAGTCAGGATTACATTAAAAGACTGTAGGGCATGGAATACAATATTCCATTAAGGCAAAGGAACTTGGATTACAACCAAGAATCTACTCCCAGTGAAACTGAACATGATCTTTCAGGGGAGGAAATGGGCATTCAACAAAATAGGAGACTTCCAAACCTTTCTGATAAAAAGACCAGAGCTAAACAGAAAATTTGATCTTCAAATAGAAGACTCAAGAGAGACATAAAAAGGTAAATGGGAGAGAAAAAAACAACACGTGATTAATAAGGACAAACTGTTTACATCCCTATAAGAGAAGATGACACTTGTAACTCTTGAGAACTGTATTGTTATTACACCATTTTAAAGGGGTATACATAGAAGGGGTGGGTATAAGTTGACTTTGATGTAATGACTTAAAAAATCTAATCAAGTGGATTAAATAAATCTTAGTAAGTGAATTAATCTGATCTAACTAAGGAAATGTACCCAGGAAAAAAGGAAAGGAGGAGGCAGACAAGAGTAAATTACATTACAGGAAAAGGCACAAAAACCTATTACAGTGGAGAGAAAGAAGGGATGGTGATGAGCATTGTTTGAACCCTGCTCTCATCAGATTTGGCTCAAGGAGGGAACAGCATAATCAGTTAGGTATAGAAATCTAACTTGCCTTATAGGCAATAGGAGGGAAGGGGGGAAAGAAAAGGGATGGATAGAAGAGAGGGAAGAATTAGTAAGGGTAAAGGGTAAGAAAAGGGAGGAGGCTAATAGAAGGAAGGTGGAACTTAGAGAGGCAGTGGTCAAAAGCAAAACACTAGTGAGGAGGGAAAGGGAGAAAGGAGAAAGAAAAGCATAAACAATGGGAAATAGGAGGGAGAGAAAGACACAGATAGT